TTTATTTATTTTTAGACAGAAGGGAAGGGAAGAAGAAAGGGAGAAAAACATCCATGTATGAAAGAAACATCAATCAATTGCCTTTTTCATGCCCTTAACCGGGTACCAAGCCCCTAACCCAGGCATGTACCTTGACTGGGAATTGAACCAGCAACCTTTAGGTTTGTAAATGACACCCAACTCACTGAGTCACACCAGTCAGGGCTGTTTCTTAAATTTGTAAAAATACAATATGTCAGGGTTAAGGGGAAAGGGAGTCCAGGAAGAGAGAGCAGCGTGAGAGAAGGCAGGGGAGTGTGAAAGTGCCAGGTGTTTCTGAAAGGTTTTCCAGGAGGAAAATCAACAGGACTTAAGTGAATGCAGGTATAGAACTGGAGATGAACTATGTGAGGGAGACCAGGGTAGCAGCGAGCACTCTCGCTTGTATGACTGGTGAATGAGAGCTCCCAGGGAGAGAATGTGGAATACAAATGGAAAATGATTAAAAATGGAACCTGGTAAACAAGGACCTCAGCCACTTAAGGGAAAGAAAGACATTGCAAAAGAAGACATGAAAAAAAAAGGAGTACAATCTTTCATCATACTTCCAGTCAATGAAAGAGAATAAGGAGGGAAGGAGAAAAGGAAATGAGAGGAGAGTCCTGGAAGCTGAAAGTTTTCAGGTGATGGCAGCTGACAGTGATAATGATGCAGAAATATCTGAATGAATGGAGGTCGATAATAGCCCTCATAACTGTGCCTTAAGAAGTACCTGGTGATTTAGTTAAAACACCTTTAATAGTACTTGCATGATGGAAATCAGAATGGAAGGAGCTGAGTTGTTAAGGGGAGTTGAAAAAACATGTCAGGGTCTGGGTTATGTTTTTAATCAGTTTGGTGTAGATATGAAGGAGGAAGAGAGAATGGAAGTTGACAGAGGAGGTAAGGTAAAAAGTTTAGAGAATGAAAAAGGAAAAGTGACATTGCGTGAGCACTTAGTGTGTATGAAATTTATGAAGTTTTGCTAGACACTTTCAGATATGTGAACATTGGGCATGTGTATGGGCTAAAAAGAATAAGTAAGACAGTAAAATTACAGGAGTTTTTTTTTTTTAAGAGAAAATAGAGGAGAGGATGGGGAGTGAAAACGTTCCCCACTTGGTTTGTCATGGGAGCTGAAAGGGAACAGGCCTTGTTGGGGTGGGTGTAAACAATGCAACGCTTATATATTTGGTGGCAGAGTTTTCTGGAATTTTCTCAATTTGGGTGTCTGACCTGAATAGAGGGCTTTTTAAAATAGAAATAGACTTGTTAAAAATGACAGCTTGAGTTTAATAATAGCTAACATTTATAAAATGCTTATTCCGTGCCAGACATTCTGCTAAGCTCTTGATACGCATTGATGTCTTTACACAACATGTCTCACATGGAGATATTTTTGCCCCCATTTTATACAGGGAGAAACTGATACACAAAAAATTAAGTCACCTTCCTGAGGTCACGGAGCTAGTAGGGGGTGGAGCTAAGATTTGAACACTGTCAGCCTGTGCCTAAGTTTGTGGTTTTAATCCCTGTGTTAAATGGTCTCTCCAGAAGTGTTTCTGCATGAGTTACATAACTACCTCTAGTCCACTTGCTCTTATTCTGGCCTAAGAGTCAGGTTCTGGGCCCCTGGTTTTTTGCTCTGCTTAAGGAAAGGTTCACTGTACTTCAAGAAGCTCATGAATGTCAAAACCTTAATCAGAGCTCTTCGGGTGACAGGAGCTAACGCTTTACAAACCAACCATGGCCCTAGTCACATTAAAATCAAAGTTGCAAAATAAAGATACATTCAGAGAAACCTTGTCTGCTTCATTTAGATAACAGTGTGCAGAATGAAAGATAAAAATGCTCAACATTTACCATTTCCTCTTTCTTTAAAAAAACCATTTAAGCCCCGTGGTGTTATGGATGATATCATCAGGCCATTTGGTTGGATAAGTTCTAGGCTGGACCGTGCAGATCACCCAACTAATGACAGGTACACTCCTGCCATCGTAACACGGCTTTTCTCACAGGTGGGAATTTCCAGTGACAGACGAAAGCTGTTTGCTATCAATTTTGCAAAAAACACATCTGCCAGATAGCCATGATTTAGTTCAGAGACCAAAATCGATTAATATTCTAATTTGTTCCCTGTCATTAGTGTCACACTGTATTAGGCCAGGTCAAAGTGACAACCTGTGTATAGCACATGCTCCTTGAGGAATTTGATTGTAGGGATATAGTTTATTTTTCTTTACCATTGTTCCCCCTGTATAAATCCGATTAGAAGTTTCAATTACATCTCTAGTAAAATTGAAATAGATTGAAATGAAAGTGTGAAATATGCAGTTACATATTTTTAATAAAATTGCATGACTCTATAATATACGTTTACTAACATTTATTTACCACACCATGTAAAAATTTTAGGTATTTCGTTTGCCTTTTCCTGTTAAATCAAGGAGAAAGCCAGCTCCATCATGTCTCTGTGGGTGCCACCCCAGTCCTCTGACAGCCTGTTATTTTAGGTTGTGGTCACAAGCACATCTCTGGGCGGGGGGGAACTAATTACCTGGTCTGATCTCTGGTGCCCATGAAAGGGACATGGGACTGGGGCAGTGGTTTGGGAAGGAACCAAATGCGGTTGGCCAAGGGAAAGGAAAGAAAGAAGAAGTTTCAGAGATAATTATTTTCCTACTAATGAAAAGGGAGGAAAATATAAAGTGATACTTGTCTCAAAATGGGAAAGGCTAAAATATGGTTGTCGCTATAAAAGTGGAAACAGCTTGCTTTTCAAATGTGAATGACACAGCCAAGCATTGAAATGTTTTCCTTAGTACTATAAATTAAAAAAATTTAATATGTTTTAGATTTTCAGCATCTTTCAGCCTCAAAGTCTAAGAGGGGTTTCATGATATAAGTAAAATTGAAATTCATTCCCTCCCTCCCTCCCCCCCCCCCCCCCCCCCTCCCTTCCTTCCTTCCTTCCTTCCTTCCTTCCTTCCTTCCTTCCTTCCTTCCTTCCACAAATAGGTGTGGGTTCCTTATCTATAGCAGGCACCACTGGGGATATAACTGTACATAGAACAGACCCAAATTTTGCCCTCATAGAGCTTACATTATTTTGGAGGGAGCCAAAATAACTTAAGAACAAATAATAAAATATATTGCATTGCAAATGGTGCTAAGCAATATTGTGAGATATTAAAAAAAAGCAAGGGGGAGAACAGGGAATGCTGGAAAAGACAGGGTGGGATAAATGGGTCATAATTTTAAATAACATGTTGGGGAAGTTCTAACTAAGAAGATGGCATCTGGGCAAAGGCCTAAAGGAGATGAGAGAATGAGTTATGAGGATACATGGGAAACACTCACCCCCATAGTTATCAACCTCTCGTATTGTTTACTTTTCCAGAGCAGGAGATAGTACTGAAGTCAAGGCAGAATACATATTTGATTTGGGTATTCATTGCTTTCTCTGCTGCCCTATGACATATTTCTTTCAAAACAAACATTTTGATAAAATATTCAAGTGAGAATCTGCTTCCATGATGTACTACATGGCTTCTGCCATGTAGTTATGGGCTCCAAGCTTTATCAAAAGTACCTGGGTCAGCCCATCAGCTCAGCAGCAGAGCACAGAAGAGCACTGGGAGCCTGTTTCCCATTGCAGGCTCCACCCATTGGACCATCTCCATCCCCACTGGGTTACGGGCCTTCTTACCAAGAATAGTAAATTACTAACAATTGTGCTAAGAATGCCTCTCAGATGAACTTGAGCTTGTTAAAAGAGGGCAGACAGATCAAGTTGTTAATTACTTAAGGAATAAAAAGTGGATTCCTTGCATTTTTTAAAATTTAGTTTCTCAATGTCCTTATAGAATAGTGCTCTTAGAAATTTTATAAATTTCTTATCTGGATTATTGCAACAGCCGGCTTTATCTTCTGCCTTTGCTCCTTGCAATGCATTTTCAACACAATAGCAGGAGTAATTTTTGAGAAAAACCTAGATGAGATCCCAGGACACCTTTGCTCAAAACCATCCAAAGGCATTTTATTTCACTCAGAGTAAAATCCAAGTCCCTTAGAACAATTTACAAGGCCCCATATCATATGGCCTCTGCTACAACCCAGCTTCATCTTCTGCCACTTTCCACCTTGAACTTAAAGCACACAGGGCTCCTTGCTGTTCCAGGCAGATTCTTACCTAAGGCCCTTTGTCGGTATTTGCCAGGTAATTGTAATTTTCTCCCCTAATCCCTTCAGGTTTCCTTACAAACCGCCTCTCATCATCCTAAATGACAACAGTCTTTTCCTCTCTATTCCCTTTCCTATCCCACTTACTCTTCTTTAGTTTTCCTTGCATTATTTATTACTAAATTATGTATTATGTATTTCTTTATTGATTTATTACTCCTTTTCTCCATTAGAATGTAAGATGCGTGAGGGCCAAAACCTGTTTTTCCAGGACCTAGAAAAGTGCATAGTTAGTGTTCAAACCTGAGGAAAACATAAACCCGTAGTTTAAAATTTAAATTAAATGCCACGGATTGGACTTAGTGCTTTACTCATACAAATAAATGAGAACAAATTATGTATTTCCTAATGACAACAAAGAAAAATTTTAAAACCTGTACAAAAGATTTTGAAATATTAACAAGTGAATAAAATGAAATTAAACTTGCAATTGGGTCAGTGCATTTTAACTATTGTTTAGAAATAATGTTAACAATGGGATAATTTCATAAATACAAGTCTAAAATATAACACAACTCGTAAATATTAATATTCTTGAGAAAAACAGATATTAAAGAAGATAAAATGGGAATTCACTTACACTAAGCATAGACACAGATTTTTAAGACTACTTCTGTTCTAATAATAAAAAATAAAATGTATGTTTATAGACTGTGACAAGGAATTCTGCTTTCTGTCCAACAAGTAAGGTGATTTTTCAACTATTTGTTTTCACTGAAGTAACGATGTACAGTACTCACGTGGAATTTTATGTAACTCATTCATGAACTTCTCCTTCAGCTTAGAAAAGGCATCTTCCTTTCCTTCTCCGGGACTGGCTGGCTCGGTGGCATTATTTGGTGTAACAGTCGCAACAGTGGTGACAGGCGGGGCTGCTGCCAGGGCCTCATGAAGACTCTCGCTCACCATGTTAGGTTCAGGTGTGACTGTGAGGAGAGCGAAGGGAAAAAGAATAATTCAAAATGGCTTAACTGACCCCGCATCAAAGGTATACCAGAGATGAAAAACATCAGAGGGTGCACCTGCTCACTGCATTAATGGTCTGTCATTAGCATATTACTTTATGTTGGTTCATGAAATATTTATAGAGCCACAGTGGAGAGTCTCCCCCAGAAGGTAAGACCAGACATGGTTACTGAAAGCATTCTCTCCCAACAATACTATGTCAACTCTCAATCTATTAGTTATTTATATAGGCAATTGTTTGCCGTGTAGCTTTTAACTTTGTAACTCATCTCTCACTGAAAGGTGTGTGAAACAATTGCTCACAACATACATGCTCTATAGTCAAAATGTCTTGTAGTTTCTAAAAGGAAAAGAAAGATCAAATATTTACACTGGAAATGTGGACAAATGATAGCATACATTCAAAATATTAGTGACTTTTAAAATGGTTATGAAGAATACTATCATAACATTGATACTCTAAGATGTCATGAATGTTATACAGACATTAGTTCCTGAATCTCATGTCTTGATGGTGCATTTTCCTCCCAGTCGTTTTTTGACATTTACTGTAAACAATACTCTCATCAATAATGTACTTGCCTTGCTGGGTGTGTAGTTGAACCCACTGTCCACATGTCATGACTGACTATATATACCAAGGCACAGATGATGAAACATGACTTGTCTATTTCAGTTTATTTAGTTTGAATGTTACTGAATTATTTATTATATTAATTCATTCAATTATTTTACATGTTTTTACCTCCAAAATATTTTTAAAAATTAATCCCTCAGGCAGCCAATGAAAAAAATCTTAGCTTTGAATATGGAAGGTGGCAGTTCTGGTCCTCCTCACTAGCTAGATGAATTTTAACAAGGCATTTGACCTCAGTCCATCTGCCTTTTGAAATACGAAGTAAAACCTGCCCTGCCTAGATTTTTCTTAGTATACGTAATATAAATATACATTTATATTCTAAATAAGAAGGGTACACTCAAGGGGTTGAAGAGAAGACGTATTTTCCAATCTGAACATGTTCTGGACTTTAATGATTTTTCTGTGTGACTTGAAATTTCAGGCTGTGCTAGTGAGAGAGTGGCCATGATTTTTGGCAGAAATAAACACAAACAGGCCTGGGCTTGAGTAACTTCACAGGCTCGGCAGGACAGTTTGTGGAACCATAAAGCTCTTTCTTTTGATTTGCAAGGAGATGGAGATAACCAGCTAACAGACAAAGGACTTTTATAGAATTCAAGGCTTGGTGAATTAATTGTGCACACTTACGTATTCAATGAAAGTGCAATGGAAAGAAGAATCACCTCAAATGTATGGGGTTATTATTAAAATCTTAAACAATATCCAGAGATTTTAGATCTCCTGGAAGGACATGATGCCTGAAGCTAATGCAGATACACAGATAATCAATTTTTATTTTATAATAGATTAGTTCTCTCTTTTAAGCTCTTAATATTTCCACTGGTAGCTGCTAATATAATCCTAAAGGGTAGAATTAGACAGATATTGGTGCAGATCTTTTCTTTAGTTTCTTCATTTGTAAAGGAGAATAATCATAACAAATACATAAGGTTCTAATGAGTATGAAATGAGATAATCTATGCAAATAACTTGGTACAACATCTAGCATGTAAGTTTGTGGCATCTGGTGATCAATCCATCGATTACTCCTTTCCTCCTGTCCTAACAACACTTGGCAGCCCAGAATTTTCCAGATTGTGGAAAAATTCTATTTTTTCCAGCTCAAGGTCTCTTTCCAGAAATTTTTTCTAATATTCTGATTCTGTTTACCTTGAGCTCTGGCAAACTGCTGAGTACTGGCCACACTGCTGGCGTGACTCATGAGAAACTATTGGTATTGATGATACCTTAATTTGTATATTTCATGTGAGTCAGCAAGACTAGAACGATACACACAAACCCACACACATGTATAAAATTTTAGTATGTATGTATTCAAAAATGAATTTGTTCCTCTGTCATAAGAATCACCAGATTTGATAGGCATTGTGACTTAATTCCACAGGATAGTTGAGGATGTTCGATGAATTATGGTTTAATGTGGTATTTAAAGTAAATGATGTGTTAGATACAAATAGTTAAATACCACAGTGCTGTCATTAAATTAAAGGCATACCACCTAACAGTGTTCCACCACAATTTTCGTCATGTTCTCGAAGGGGAACATTGTGGCTGGTCATCTAGACTGATGTTCAGGGGCTACCTCTAAGTGACTGCACACTTGTTTACAGACTTTGGGACTATAGATGTTTGGGTCCTTTGCCACTTGGGTTGTTAAATACTTTCATATTACCTCAGCCAGTAATAAAATATAAAACATTTCTAGACATAAGCTGAATGTTCTAAAAGATTATGGGAAAAATAAGACTTCTGTTAATAGTCAACATTTAGTAAATACACTTGAAGTTTACTCAGTACTTTTTTTTAAGAGAGAAAAGAATGTTTTCTGTTTTGTAACTTCACAGTACAATCCTTTTAGACATAATGTATACTTGGAAGATGTTTCACCAAAAAAGATAAAAGTTATAAACTCAATTCTTACTAGTTAAGTCTTTCTAGATATTATCCCTACCATTAAAATTTTTTAACAAAGAGAACATTATAAGAAATATAGGTATGTTTCTTTTACTTTATGCCACTGAAATTTTTTAATAGTCTTTTATAAAATACAAAAATGTAATGGGCAACTAAGGATCTAATGTACTGATAAAGAAACTACTCGATTTCTTACTATTTTATTTTTATTTCTTCATATTTTGAGAGATAATATTGTTTTTCAGTAGCAAAACTATGACAGTTGCCTGGCTCTTCAAAATTCATACTTGTGGATATAAGATACTTATTAAGATGCATCAATTTATAGATGAAAATTCATTAACTGTTCAATCCTGACTAATGCAATGATTTTATATTCTCTTGCACTTTAGAGCATGTGGCATTAGTTGCTTATTTGGGAAAAAATTATATTTTATTCAAGTCTTGGTAAAGTAACAGACAACAGTTACGGAGTACCTTCTAAGGGGCTTAGACATATGAAATCATATAGTTCTAATACTACTTCTATGAGACAAGAATAATTATCATCCATTTTACAGGTGAGGAAACTAAGGCATACAGAGGTTATGCAATTGGTTCAAAGCCATATTGTAGTAATTAGTGCAGTTGGGATTTAAATCTAGGTGTCTTAACCACAACAGGATAAGGGACTTGTATGCTATGTGATCAGCACCTAATAAAATTGTGGGTTTTTTGCAGAGTTTTTGACTACAACCCACAGTAAGAAGTATATTTACATTGTTCTCCAATATACATACTTCCTCTACCTGTGCTATATACAGAATAAAAGTATCAAACAAAAACACTTGCTTTTACAATGTGTGAAATATTCTGATGTATTTGATTCTGTTCTGTTCTTTTTCACTAAAATTCTAGTTGTGTTTGAAACATTGTATACATAAATTTCACAACCCACTAATGGCTTGATACCTACAGTTTGGAAAGCCACAATAATAGGAGGCATGTTAAGATAAAGTAGCACTAAATGGGCCTAATGAAACCTAAAGATACCATTTATTAGGAAGCTACTATGCACCAAAATACTATCACTGATATTTAACTATAATATCCTCAGGTCTCATTACAACCCTTAAAAGTAGCTCAGCATTATTTCATAGAAGAAATTGGGATGTGGAGAGGTTAAGTGATTTGTCCTACACAGGACTAGCTGGTTCTTTCCACTAGTCTACTTTAATAATAACATTTAAATATTAAACAATTTAATCAGTGTTGGGAAGGTATTTATGATTCCCCTTAAATTGGTTTACCAGTAAATGAAAAACACAAATCATCTTACTAGTAGGAAACATTGCTTAATTTTAGAAGTATAGTCATTTTGTTTGTTGAAGTGGAATTTACCATCCAGAAATATGCCAAGAAGATGATTATTAAATAGAAAAATAAAGTTCCTTCTAGAAGAAAGTTCAGTATAAAGACATGAGCAAGAAATGCTTAATGAAAGAAATACAAAAATACAAATCCCTCCTCACCAAAAAAAGTGTTTAATTTCACAATTAGTCAAAGAACTCAAAGTCAAAATAACAATGAGATAGTATATATTAGTTTGTAAATGTGGCTCAATATAAATACAAAAGTGAGGGCACAAAAAACTGGGCAATTGGGAAAGACAATAGATTAGAAAAATACTTTATAGAGGCCAAAGTAACAGAACAAATCGAAAGCTATAGAAGTGCTCATTCTTTGTCTAGGAATTCATGACAAAAAGTTAACGTTAGGTATATAAACCATTTAATAAAAAGACGTTTATAGTAACTTATTTATAATATTAGAAGACCAAAAACTACCTAACAGATTACTTAAACAATGGTAATCCATAAAATAGTGTTATTAAAATTACATTGAAGGAGAATATTTATAAGCCAGTGTTAGATGAATAATACAAGTTATGAAACATTATATAGAGTATGTCCAAATTGTTTAAATAACATATTTCATATAGAAATATTGGAAAGATATATTTACAAATGTTAACTTTGTAGTAGAATATTCACTTTTGCTTCCCATATGTTTACAATGTCAATATATTCTAAAACGGAATTATTTAAAATTACACAAAGAAAAATGTTATAACTTTTTTGCTCCTGAGAAAATCAGATACTATAGAACAGTTTAATTTCATAATGCAAGATTAAAAAATACTTTAATAAAAATTAACAAAACAGAAACAGACTTGCAGACACAGAGAACAGATTGACAGCTATCATAGGGGAGGGGTTTGCAGGGCTGGGTGAAAAAGGTTAGGCAAAGAAAAAAGCAAAACTCATAGAAACAGACAACGATGTGGTGATTACCAGGGGGAAAGGGTAAAGTTGGGAAAGTAGAAGAGAGTTGGCCCTGGCTGGTGTAGCTCAGTGGATTGAGCGC